TTATGAGAGCCAGGCATAATGGGACACGTATGTAATATCAGCACTTGTGAGGTTGAGGCAGGAAGAGCACAGCAAATTTGAGGCCAGTCTCAAAAAGAACAAAAAATAAGGACATTATGGAGCTGAGGGTGTAGCTCAGTGTTAGAACACTTGCCCAGTTTATGTGAAGTCCTGGTCGGATCCCCAGAAGAACAACAAAAAGGACATTAAAAAGCCAGGCGTGGTGGTGTATGCCTATAATCCCAGTACTTGGGAGGCTGAGGCAGGAGGATCACCAAAAATTAAAGGCCAGCATGGGCTACATAATGAATTCAAGGCTACTTGAACTACATAGTGAGACCCTATCTCAAAAAAAAAAAAAAAAAGATTAAAATACAGTGTAACCTCAAGTTACAACCGGCCTGACATACAAACACCTTGGGTTAATCAGGTTAATGGAAGATTCATCTTCCTCTTGTTATCTATAGCATGTATCCAGGGAAGCATCTGGATCTCAGCTGTCTTGACTTACAATCAATTTGAGTTACAACCAGCTCTCAGGAACTGATCAAGTTCATAAGTAAAGGGTCCACTGTAAGAGTAAGATATAAGAAATAATTTTACCTTTTTACCTACCACAATCAAGGTCACAGTCTATGTGCTAGGTCAGATCATCCAAGGGACAGGAACAATTGTCCATTAATATTCCCCCCTCGCCACCAGGTATCTCACTCAGGACTTAGTTTGCCAGGCAGGTGTGGAGCTACATTTCCAGCCCCACAGATTTTTGTTTGTTTGTTTGTTTGTTTGTTTGAAACAACAGGGTCTTGAAATGTAGTTCAAGTTGGCCTTTAATGTGGTATGTAGGTCAAACTGACCTCAAACATGAAGTGATCCTCCTGCCTCTGCCTCCCAAGTGCTGGGATTACAGGTGTCACCACCATGCCCAGCGACTTCACTGACTGAACACTCAGAATTCACCCCATGGGTCTACTTTCAAGGAGCCTCTAGCTGCATGGCTCCCTGAGTGGGGCCCCTGGGCCATCACCCACAAATCAAAAAAAGAACACACACACTTATCTACTTTATATTTTTGTGCAGTTCTGAGAACAGTACCCAAGGAAAGTGTTTGACATAAATCCCAGTAAAATATAAGTTCTTGAAACACAGGTGTAGTGCCAACAAAGATTAGCACTGACGCCTTTGGAAATAACTATCAGCCCTGGTATTTATTGCTCTATGAATTAAGTATAGAACCAGGTGTGGTGGTGCACAACTGTAATCCCAGCACTCAGGAGGCTGAGGCAGGAGGATCGCTATGAGTTTGAGACCAGCCTGGGCTACATAGTGAGCTCCAGGTCAGTCTCAACTACATAGTGAAACCCTGTCTCAAAAAAACAAGACAAAACAAGGCATAGTGCTCTTACCATGCTGTATGGACATCTGTGAAGGAATATTTCACCTCCAAAAGTATCTTCCCATCTCCCAGCCCCAAGCACATTTACAGTTTGGTAAATTGCCCAGCTCAAGCCCTAGGTGGCCAAAAGGCACTCACTTGTTCTACTTTTCCCACATGATCTTCTTTAAGATCCTGGTATCCTACCCCTCACTCGGTTCTATTATTTCTCGAAGTGTTACGAATAATGACGATCATAAGTGCTAACATTTAGGGCTGGCTTCACGGACGTGCTACCAGCGCGGTGGAATGGGTCCCAAGCTCAGTAGGACGTGGCCCTTGTTTTAGTATTCTGTTGTCATCTATCAAATTGTTTTGTTTTGAGTGCTGGGTTTTGGAACTGGGGCCTTGTACATGCTATACACATGCTCTACTGCTGAGTTACATCCCCAGCTCTTGAAATTCTTAATAAATTTGAACGAGGAATCCTGCATTTATATTTGGCTCTAAGCCCCACAAATTATGTAGCCAGTCCTCTTCATATTTATAGAGCACTTATTATGCATCAGAATGTCCTAAATCTTCACACTATTGAACCAGTAGCTGAAATATCACCAGATTGTGTAAATTTCCTCCTCTGCTTAAGGTAATTTGCCTGACTCTGTTCCTTACCACTAAAAGTACTTAACTGGGGGAGACACTTGAGCAGCAAGGCCTTCTAGATAACCTTCTGTTTTAGAAATTAAAATTAAAAATAAAATAACCTTATCATATTACTGTCCTCACATACAGCAGACATGGGTGGAACCCAGAGCATGGCAGGCAAATATTCTGCCTGCTCAGCCACATCATCTCGCTCTTCTTTTTTTTTTTTTTTTTTTTGGGGGGGGGGTTTT